CTATAGTAATTTATATATAGAACCGCGTTACGTTTCACTATGATCATTCTTCAGTTGACTGGAGAATCATCAATTAAGTCATTTGTATAATGGGTCTAATTGTTTTTGTAGTTCTATAAAGTTTATGTAATTGTTGCAATGGTCTTGTGATAGCTTAAATAGGGTTGTTAAATTATCATAATTTACGTAATTTTGTGAAATTTTGCGTAAATTTTCAGTAACATAGTTTCATGTAATTTGTAAGAAACATGATTATATGTTCATATGATTGGTTGGATCATATGTACATCGATTTGGTTAGTGAACTTTATGCAGAATCTACTGTAGTTCAATAATGCTAGCTGAGTTTTTCATAGTGTCAGTGCGTGTAAAATTTACATGAAATTCAAGTTACTGAAATTTATGCAAAATTACATGAAATATAAAATTGTAATTTTTGTAATACAACCCTAAGCTCATCTAATTAAAGTTGTAACTTTAAGCACCTAAAGTTGTAACTGTCTAATATAGTTCTGAAATTAAGCACACCCGAAATTAAGCACTACCGACAGTTTATATCTTCTCCAAAATAAGCACCCTCCACATTTTATTAGTTTTGTCTCTCTGATTTTACATTAATAGGTTTTAATATATTTTATTTATTTATTGTAGCCAAATACTTAAATTATTCAATTAAATTATGCAGCTTAGTTATACAACTCGTAATTACAATAAAAAAAAACTAATTATTGCTATATCTATATCGTTGCCAATGTCCATAACTTCACTAATGTCTATAATTTCAATATTATCACTAATATCCATAGATTCAATATCCTCACTGATATTCATAAATTCAATATCATTGCTAATATCCATAAATTCAATATCATCACTAATATCCTCAATATCCTTATTTATATCTATAATTTCAATGTCTTTACTACTAAGATCTATAATTTCAACGTCTTTACTAAGATCTACAATGTCCTTACGACTAAGATCTACAATTTCAATGCCCTTACTACTAAGATCTACAATTTCTAAATCATTTGAAATATCACATTTAACGAAAGATTTAATAATAATATTATAGAGAATTTGTTTCCAAGAATTTTTTATCCATCCACATACATCACTTATTTTAGCACATCAAAGGTTTCCAGCTGCAGTTTTTCCGGCACCACCTTTTGCCATCCAAAGATGCCATTCTTTGTGAAGATTGTCTTTGAATGGTTTATTAATCATAATGTCGAGTGGTTGGCAAATACTAGTTAAACCAGCCAGAATAATCACTAAATCAATATCACTATTGCGAAACTTATCTTTGACCGAATCTTCTAAATATGCTTTAAACGAATTATATACTATCATTGCTAGAACCTCATGTTCATCATCATTACTCATATCGTTAAGATAATCAATATATTGTATCATCAAATCAGTATCTATCCAGCCATTATCTTGAAACCAAGCAACAACGCTAGATAGAATTTTTTCACCACGTGGTAATTGTTTCCCTTTAAAAATACAAATTGGTAGAAACTTCATTCCATCTATAAAAAACAAATATGAATTGTAATTCATATTGTTGTATAGCATATAATATCTATACAAGAGTATTAAAACATATAAGCCGATTTGCACACTACCCCAAATTTGTAATAAAAATTATTCAATCAAATTAATGAATTTTATATATTAATAATAAGTAAAAAAATCTAGTAATATAAAACTTCCAGTAAGTTACATAATAACCTACTTCGAAACTTTACAAGTATATTACTTCTTAAGCCAACTTTTTTGATCAAAAAATATTTTTTTTTGATCAAAAAATAGTATAGGTATAACTCATATACAATAGAAACCAAAGAAAGGTCTTATATACTAAAATAAACCCGTATAAATTTATATTTCTGTAAGTACAAAAATATATTTAAA